GGGAAGAGAATTTTTTTTTGTCTTTATGGAATGTCTCTATGCCTATATGCTACCAAAGGTCCACTGTACGTGTTCTGCACTCACACATGCGGTATACATCCATGTGGCACACTGTAGTGTTAAATAGATAGTGCTGAGGGTGTAACATGTTACAGAGGTGAGAGACAAACCAAGTATTTTTCTCCATCCTAATGGAGAATTGGGCTCTAGAAATGATGGATAGCCTGATCAAGGTCACTCTAGAGGTCTGCAGCAGAGATGGGATGTGAGCCGCAGGTTCTTAGGATGTTCTAGCTCTCAGCAGACCCATTGTCAAGAATTTGGCTTGGAACCATACAGGTTGCCACTTTTGCATTTTTAAATTTGGAAAGCAGTTGATTTTTTTTTTCTTTCCTCCTTTGCTGCATTTCAAGGTGTGCTGGATGTAACAGCCTTGGCCTTTTCAGTCCAATTGCCTGTGAACCATTCATGGCAAACAAAACTACACCAAAATGGCTTGAGCATGTCAGGGTGGTTAACAGCGGTAATGGAGACTACTGTGATCAAAGCAAAGATTTGTAGCAGCTTTCTTACAAAACCTGCTTTAAAACATTGTGCACTAATTTCTCACCAGTGTGTGCCCTTCTGCTGACTACCTAGAAAATAAAATACAGTAGTGTGACAGAATACAGAAGGGCTAAGCTACAGACTTATGAAACTGTTGCATTTTAAACCCCAGTAGACAGTTATGTTTTCTTCTACTGCCTTAGAAAACATGTTTTTCCCTAATTGGCCAAAGTGGGATTAGTAGCTGTGAAAGCCGCACGCTTTACAAGGCCTTGTGGGAGCTTACAAAATGCAGATATTTTCCTAAGCGTTATTGGTGGAGCTCCAAGTCCTGCAGCTACCCTGTGGTACAAAACAACAAGGGGCTGGAAAAAGATTAACACAAAGAGTTTCTGCGGTCTCTTTGTAGTTTTTGGACAGTGGAACTTGTCCCTCTCTCTGCCTTCTGTGCCACTGTAAAGGGCCATGGGCCCCTCACATGAGCTCTTGTCACGGTCTTCCCCCCACCCTCTATGGCTGCTCCTTGGAGGGACAAAGACGTCAGCCATAGATAAGATCAAAGGACAACTCACACGGGAAGGGATTCCAGGAGGTCTGCCATCCAACCCCTTGTCCAAAACAGGGTCAGCTATGGGATTAGACCCAGTTGCTCAGGGCTGTGTTCAGTTGGGTCTGGAAAACCTTCAGTGCCAGAGCCTGTACAACCTCTCCAGGCAACCTCTAACACTGTCCCACTGTCTTAACAGGGAAAAGGCTTCTTCTTACATCCACCCTGAGGTTTTAATTTCAATTATTGTCCATTGTCTCTTGTTCTCCTGCTATGCACCACAGTTATCAGCCTGGCTCTATCTTCTTGGTGATCTCTTCATTGGTCCTGTGGGGCTGCTGTTAGGCTCCTACCCACAAACTGCCCCTACCCAGGCTGAACAAGCCCTTTTTCCTCAGCCTCTCCTTGAAAGGCAAGTGCTTCAGGTCCCAGGCATCTTGACAGCCCTCCACTGAACTCAGCCATTTATCCATGTGTGTCTGGTATCACAGAGACTGAACTTGAATGCCAGGTTAGACCCCTGTAGTACCCCACTTTTTACTGGCCTTGATACAACCCACTAGCTGCCACTCACTAACCCTGACCATCCAACTGAGTTTCTCACTCTTGCCAGCCGTAATGTGCTAACATGGATGCGAGATCATTGTGGGAGAGAGTGTTGGAACCCTTGCTAAAGTCAAGGCAAACAACATCCACCTCTCTCCCTTTGCCCACAAATCCAGCTGCTTTATGATAGAAGGCAATCAGGTTGGTCAGGTGGGACTGATCCTTGGTGAACCCATACAGACAGTCCCCGGTCACCTTCACCTCCTCCTCTGTTGCTTGGGGGGCATCATGAAATGCAGATGTCTTCTCCTACCCTGAAGTATCACTGTGACAGCATCACACCTCAGGGGCATAATGGATCTCTCTGTGTCTTGAAAGTCCTCCAGGCCTAGATGCCTCTTCCTTCCCACATGTGGGTCTCTCCTGGGGGCGCGCAGACTGTTGCATGGGGTCACAGAGACATGGTTGCTCAAGGTGCATCAGCTCATGCAGTTCTACAAAGAGTCCACACTCAGCAGGGAACACAGAAGTTGACCAGCAACTTTCAAAATCTGTAACCACACATGCTTGAATGCACAGTCTCCTTTTTCCTAATCTAACTGTGACATACAATTCATGATGAGCTCCTTTTGGTCAGGAGGAGGTGACTTTGATGAGCTGCTCTTGTAATCTACTGACAGTTCATGTCAACTTGAGGATCGGGAGCTCTGAAAAGGCTTGCTTAGAAACCTGGCTGCTTGAGATGATCCTGGCTTCCACCTGTCCAGTGAAGACATGAACATGACTTTTCAAATTCCCAAAGCACTTCCCACTGGGGTATGTTTCAGACAGTAATGAAAGGAAGCTCCTGCTTGGTCCATGGCAATAGGCATCATTACTCCCCTTTTGGAGCCCAAAGCAGAGACATGTAGAATAAATAGATATAGATCAAGAAAAGAGACTTAGGCATGGTCAGGAACAGAACCAATGGCATCTGGCTCCTTGTCATAACCCTGTACAAAACTCATGAGTGTCCTTCCACAGGCAGATTTCACCTGCACATGTCTTATTTCACAGACTACTGAGATAGTCCGACATCGGTTAAAAAATCCCTGGTGTCTGTTCACAAATTTTGGAGTCAGTTATACCCCTAGTAATAAAAGCTGTATGCCATTTATTTAGTAGGGCTCTTTTAATGTGCTGTTTGCTGTTTTGATAGTCTGCATCTTCTTCATGTTGTAATCATATTAAAAGAGCATTCTTTTCCTGGAATAAAGAGGTAATGATTCACAAGAGGCATAATTATTCCATGTGGTGCAGGCAGGATGCTGCAGAAAGAGCTGTCTTCTTCATGTGTAAGAGGCTTTTATTGCAAGTATTCTACAGAGTAATTAAATTCCTGTGAATGAGAAGGCTTGATTGGATTTTCTCTGGTTTATTGGGAGGAGTCTAAAAAGCCAGGTATTTAGCTCAATTGCTATACAATTTTGGCATCTGTTGGAGGTTAGGGAGAAAAGTTCAGTGTCTGATTCCCATTCCTCTTACGCTAGTGTTACATTAGCTGAACTCCGTTGAATTCAGTTGAATTACAACCTATCTGTATTTGTGTAAGAATCAAGCTCAGATATCCCAGGCAGAACACAGCAGGATACCTGAATGCATGCTGTAAGAATCCAAATTATCTAAGGGAAAAAAGCCTTGCTAAAGGAAAGCTGCTTGCGGTTGTAAAGGCAAGTGCCCCAAAATGAGGAAACTTCACATTTAAAGTTGTCCTTCAGATCTGATGTTTGTCTTGGGGCCAGTCCAGCCTTGGCCCAGAATGGACAAAGTTTTAAAAGACAGCAGCAAGAAAAGAAAAGTCAGGCAACCATATAACAAAAATCTGTGCTGTGGCTTGACACACAAGCCAGGATCATTGTGCTGGCATGGCATAACTCTTGAGTATATGAGTTGTCAAACTAAATCATGTTTAACATTAACTACTGTACACAGCTGAAAATGTTTGGTTTTGTTTTGCCTTTTTTTTCCGAAGGAAAAGAGTAAAAATGTAAATTAAGAAGAAAACTCTATTATATACACCCTCAACACCTATTAGTAATGGGGTTTGGGTCTTGTATCATAAATTACAGCCTAAATTCTTCCTATTACTCAATAAGACTACACAATATGTCAGGAGAAGATTGTTGCTCAGGCAGGGAAGGAGATGTGTGACACTACGGAGTTAATTTCATCCTGCTCAGATGTCTTTGGATAGACAGTACATGTGGTGAGGAAAGTGACATTTTTAACAGCTTAAAGAAACATCATGGGGAAATGAGAGGTAATTTCCTAATCTAGGGTCTCCCTGCCACTGGATGTTAACACCTTGTTTCAGCCAGTGAGAGTGGGAATCTCTGAAGCACATGTTGCCAGTATCCGTTGGGGTTATGCTGTCAAAGGCATCAAGCAAGATGGACCTGGACCTAGGTCTGAGGGGAACTAGCAAAAAATCTGTGTACTGCAAAACCTCAGGCTAGACCTGTCTTGTGCCTGTGCCTTAGAACCCTAAGCAAAGGGGAACACAAACCTCTAAAATAGGTCTGTAAGTGCAAAATTTTGGCTTTTTTAAGTCTGAAAATCAAGGTATTTAGCTCCTACACAGTGTGCAAAGTGCAATGCAGAAGAGAGGAACCACAGCAATGATTTGCAGTCATCCGTGATGCTGGCACACATGTCTGAACCTGAGTCAGGTCCAAGGTGATTGACTCACATATCTCTGTCAGGGATAAACCTTGTGTGTGCTCATCAGCCATCCAGTCTCTTCTCATTGCAGTATACTGGGCCTGATGGATATCTGCAACTGAGGACATTTTCTGATTAACTTGGGTAACTGCAGCCAGAATGCTTTGGTTTATTACCTTCACTCCCTCCAACTGGCTGCCAGGCATTACAAATTCAACAAATTGCCTGTCCTCCTGTCCTACTCTGCCTTCTTCCTTTCAACTTCCATGTTTTTACATGAAAGACAGCGCAACCAATAGCTGCACAATCCTCCAGTCTCAATGGTATTTGGCAAGCACTGTGAGGCACATGGGAACTACCATTGTGGCCCAGGACTTTACATAGAATATTGCCGTAAGCTGGCATGGATGTGTCACATGAAACCATAGTTTCCATCTTGTGACTCTACTGACTTCTGAATGGTTGTGCTTCCCTTCATTATTTATTAATTCTCAGCAAGGAACCCTCCTGGAGCCAGCTGTCTGCACAGAAAGTTGGAAATGGAATTAAACTTTTTGCCAATAAAAGGGAATTTGGGGAAAAAAAAAAAAAAATTCAAGGTCTGAATTAAAATCAGTTCTGTTTTATTGATTTATCTTTTGTGTCTTGGCTTCCTGAGTAGAAACAGTCATACCTGAGGACTACCTGTCTGACCCTGTGAACATGAAGCGGTACAGTGTGGATCCTGCCGATTCTGCCTTCAGTTGCATGGGCTCCATGTACACCACACGGCAGAGTCCTGCTGATGGACGTCCTGCTGGAGGCTCCTCTTCTTCCCGTAGTCATCGTCCTGCCCAAATGTCTTCAGGGGGTCCCTCATCTACTGGCCTGCAGCATCAAACCTCCAGCCCAACGAGGAATGGGACCTACCCTGAAGGAAACAGAAGTGGTAATATAACATCTTCCATTTAGCAATGTGTGTTGCTATGCTGGTGCCATGATGGAGTCTTAACTCACTCTCAAAATCACAGGAAAATTAGTGAGGTGGGTCTGGACTGACATCCATCTGGATGTATTGACATCCATGCAGACCGATCATTTAGGAGGAGAAATAATAACCTATGTAAACAGAAAATCAATCTGTTCATCATTAAGTAAAAAGGTGAATGTTTTCTAATGCTGTTATTAATTATGTAAACATATGTATTATGTATAATTGTGTGGCAATCACAACTGTTATTATTGACTTACAGATATAAATATTAATATATAAGGCAATCCTCCCAAATGCCTTATAGAAACTGCCTGCAGACAGATACCTGTCATTTGGGTGACACCAGCTGTGTGCAAGATAAGATGCACAGCAAATCCAAATTAGTGCCTACCTCAAAGCATTTGAGCATAAGGCTTTGCTTCCTAGCTGCATGGCCCATCCCACCCTTTTAATCATGAACCAAGCCAGATTTTTGTTGAAAAGAGACTGCCCAGCAAAACGTATTGTTAGAAATCATCCAGCTAACTGCTCAAGGCTCTTTTATCCTTCAGGAAGCAAAGTTGCAAGAAGTTTATCTGCAGATTCAAGGGATACCATGGGAACCACTACATTCCATAACCTTTCTTTTTTCTCTTTGTATTTTTGTCCAGTTACCCTGCTAGGATGTACATTTGCTATGTGGGTCACTCTGCTCATTAGCTATATTCTTACTAGTCATAATTTTTTGTTTGTTTCTCTAGAAATAACCAGGGTTCATCAAATGGGTTAGCTAATTCTCTGAAACTCTGTTAACTTTGTCTTTTTTTTTGCATTTTCCAAGTTCTCCACTAACAGGTCTTTATCAGTAGTGATTCCAACACTGTCTTCACCCCTTACTAATTATTCAAACTTCATTTATGCATTTTTCATCTTGAAGATAGATCTAACAAAGGCGTTGAGTGTCTCAGCCATTTTTAAGTTATTAATTTCTTTCCCTTCCTCATTTATTAATGGAATCTACTGTCACTCTACCTTTTTTTTTTTTTTTTTTATCTTGATATATTTGCAGAAGCCTTGCTGGTTCCCCTAGCCTCTTTGTCTACCACTAGCTCATTACACTGCCCTTCTGCCCTTGCATTTCTCCTGGCCACTGCAAGTGATTCTGCATATTCTTACTTGGTAGCCACTCCATAGCCTCTTTCCAGTAGCTGCAGACCTTTGTGTAATTCCTTCACATCCCTTACCTCCCCAATGCCTTTATTATTTCTTGTTCTCGAACTTCCACTATTTAATATTTTAGAACATTTTTCTTCTAGAGTGTGTATTAGCAGTATTTATCTTTGTTATCTCAGTTTGCCTTCCTAAATGTTCAATAGCTACCCAAATCCATCACTCACTCTGCTATTATTTTCATGCACTTGTTTCCCTGGTTTATCCCCATGTTACTCTGTTACACAGACCACAGAAAAATGTTCAGTTCTCAACATTATTTTTTCCTTACTTACAGAGTCAACTTCACTCAAAGTGAAGTGAACAGTATAGAAATGTGCTACTGCAAACAACTTGTAAAAGGTTGTCAGCCGGCACCTGGAGCCTCAGTTACAAAGAAAAGAAAATGAAAAGCCCTTTCTTTCAGATCTGGCTCAGTGCTTCTTGAGCTGGAATAATCTGTTACTGGGAGGACAGGATGCTTACTGTGCACAGGTTTCATTTTCCCCTCTCCCACTGCTTCCCTAGAGCCTCCCAGCAGAACTGGGACCCTTTCGTCAGGCTTCTTAGTTGGCAGCTGCAAGGAGACAAGATTTAACAATGTTGTTACTTGCTTACTTTGGAAATCTTTATCATTCTGCTTGGGATAAGTCATTATCTCTTTGTAGTAGATAGGAAAGGTCAGAGCAGTTCAGAGCAAAGGCCTATCTAGGAATGCACCCTGTCTCCAGCAAGAGACAGCAGAACACCCCCAGGAAAGAGATAAGTGCAGAGATGTTGATGCATCCCCACTACCCTGTCCAACTTCAGAAATTTGTGGTTCAAGGATTTCCTGAACGAGAGGTTGTGGATTCATATGTAATAACCTGTCATAGATTTTTCTTCCCTCACTCAGTGGCTTATTGAATACTTTTTGCAGTTTCAGCATCCACAAAATTCTTGTGCTTAAGATTGTGTTATGTGGAGAAAAGCCTTGGTATTAGGGGTTTGAAACTATGTTCAGTGGACTGAAGCTTAAAATCGGAGCTCCATAGGCTTCCTCAGCTGCATCACATTCCGTTCTTGTTTCTGACTCTGAATTTCACTGTTCGCCAAACTCAGTCAACACCTTGTGAAAGCTCAGCAAGGTCCTGAGCAGGAAGCTAAGCTTCAGGAGAGAGCTCCACCTATCTTACCATGACCTACCACAAAATCTGCAGTCTTTACAAAATGAAAGCCTAAAAGATGACATGTCTTTTTCCAGAACTGAACCAAGAGAAAAGTTATAGAGTGGCCACGCAATAGACTTGCAAGTTCCTACGTTTCTGTAGCTTAAAACATATCAAAGCACTTTGAGGCACAGAGAGGAAGAGATTGCTTTTGAACCAGCTTCCCATGACATGTGGGTGTCTCTGAAGCAGTTACAAGTGACTTTAAGCTGCTACATATAATACTTTGGGGTAACAGGACTCATTCCAAAACTGCTTAGTAATTCTCATGTGACAAGCATTTGACACCTCCATAGACTAGCTCCTCTGGGACCTCTGGGTCATTTGGCCAGCTCAACAGTAAAGGCTCCCTAAAACTGACAGTTATGCCATGAACATCAGGAAAAAGGTTATGAGTTCATTGATATGGCTTATTTATAATTATTGACAATTTGTTAATCCCAGTATCATCCATTGTAGATTAGGGTCTGCCATAGAAGTGTGTGCAAACCCACACAGAGATGGGTTTACTGTCAAGGCCTCTATCAGAGGAATCATGGAATCATAGAATCATAGG